AAAAAGAGCATACTTGTTTGCATTTTACCAATCAAGTCCTTATGCACTTGATAACACCAGTTAGTGTTTACATATATACTTGCACATTTACTTCTAAAAGTGCCTAATGACACCTAATTCATAATTTTCAGCATTGATTCGAAATTAAGTGAAAAGTTGAATAGTAAATGTTTTATATGGCGGTTTGAATTGAGTGGTCCATCTTGGAGATATCATGTTCTATAAACTCCCAATATGTTAATGACGTGATGAGATGGGCGGTGAGCTTGCAATGATAGAGACATGTGAATAATTGCCCAAGATGTTGAAAAAGTTTTCGATCATTGCAAGCTCACCGTTCGTCTCGCTTCGATGCGAAGGCACGGCTACCTTCAAGAGGGCGCAGGGAAGTGTGAAAGGGACTATTGAGCTTTTAGTCATTGATTGATATTCCACTTGCTCCCATTATATTCCACCAAAATGTTCTATAGCATGGAATAAAATCTTTTTTGTGAAACACCATAGAATATCCTAAACACATATGCAGAAGTGGATCTAGTGGGTGGCCCTAGGTGCACCGGACACCAAGGGCGGATCCAGCCAAAATTTTAGGGGGAGCTAATTGAGTTTAGGGGGGCTAATTGATTAGGAGGGCTAATTGAGTTTCTTCCGTCAACACAACGGAAAACAATAAAAAAGCATCTAATTCTTCAGTTTTGTTCTGTTTTGTTTTTCTGCTAAAGGGGGGCTTCAGCCCCCCTTTGCCCCCCTTCCCTGAATCCGGCGTTGGACACCCCCTCCCAGTCCCCAAGCTGCCTTTTATTGTGGTACATGACATATATATATATTTTTTATTTATGATTTCTTTTTCTCAAATCTTTAGTCCGACTCAAGATTAAATTTCTTGAGATTATATCTAAAAATAAACCTAAGAACAAATGAAATAACTCAGGTCAGGATTATTGATGACRTCATTTCATCTTCCTTTCCATCATCCCCCTTTCCCAAGATCTGCCGTTAACACACGAGGTACCATTATCTCACCTACTGTACATTCCTATGCAGATATTAATCAAACCGCCCTTTTGCGAACTCGTGGATACTAGTGGAACTTTCCAGAAATTGGGCTCCCTGTGTCCTTATGCTTGTTGACATCCGAAGGTTTTAAAGTATTCCGCTCAATGTCATATTTTGTATGCTCAATTTAGCTGGTAAGATGATTAGTCATCCTTTTATTTTCCTTTTAACACCTACTTTGTTTAGTTCTTTGTTATTTTGTTGAGTTTGGAAGCGAATTGTGTGATGAATTGGAAAAACGTTGCGTTTATATGCGTTACTACTTATCTTGACCTTCAAGGGTCACGGCGATTACAATCGATTTATTCACATGAAACACTTTATTTACACTTATATATATGCATCCGGTCCGGCTCTACCTACAAGTCTTCTGAGATCGAGGATCTAAATATGTTGACGATTGTACATAAGCGTTTCTGTTTACTTTATCGCATCAGCAAAAAAAGGTTTGACTCATTGGAATTTTTAGTTTTAGGCGTTAATCGTATTATTTTACTTCAAGTTGCATCTTTCCTCGATTCTTTTGATGTAGATGATCCGAAGATAAAACTAAGTGCGAGTGTGCGCATGTGCGCATTTGCAGAGTGGGTCCACAGTGCTAGAAGTATCCCACACGAAACATCAGCAGTTCATTTCCTCATATAAATAGCGAAAGTAGTCTATACTGAATAAGAGCAATGTGCTTGTAAGTGTCGTGTAACTTGGTAATCAGATGACGTAAGACGATCAATATACGTTTAATCTGCTAACATATCGATCTGCTAACATCTTAGTGAGCGAGTGACACATTTATATATTCAGACCTCTCACAATAACTCGTTTCTACTCTTCGCGTATATCCACGAGTTAAAAATGGTCGTAAGATTCACAGGAAMCGCGTTTATACCAGAAACATTGCTTGATGCCCCTAAGGCTTACTTTTGCTGACCCCTATCCCCCCACCACCCATGGGCTAATAAATGAAAGCCCACTAAGAAGATATCTGTAA